GGCAGAGAGAGAGAAGAGGACAACAAACGAGGGGCTGTGACAAACTGTTTCGTCAGAGTTTCATCGACTCATCAGGAGGCTGAACCCTCAACAGTCTGCAGAATCCCCTCACTGATTACACTGTAAATGATAATCTACCTTAACCAAAATCAAAGTAGACTATCACTCACCCACACCAGATGGAAAACTCTACAGACTGTCGGTTCACACCCCATCATATATATATATATATATATAAAAACAGAACCTTATGGATCTGGGCCTCTGGGTCCTTTTCCATTCTGGGGAGCGGCATTCCGGTTACTACTCCATCGGCAAGTCAGAAGGGAGTGCAATGATTACTCACTCACGCTCCTCTCCCTTATGGTGGGAAGGCCCGACGGACGACATTGATTACCCGAAGGAAAGATGTACCCTCCCTCACCCCTGCCTAAGTTAACCTGTACTAATTGTCATTTGTATTTGAATTGTAATGTGTCTATTCTGCTATCACTGATCTTGCAGTTCGTCCATTTGGGATTTGACCGTCCTGTTCCTCTCAATTCCTTGACTGTCGAGTTTATATTGAACACTAGAACAGTTGCTAGGACCTCTTTCGGTGATCCCTGCTTGAACCCTAAACCTTGTTGTAAAGGGTTGAGATACACATTACTGTGTCCTTAATATCTATCCTGCCTACTCAGACCGTATTACCCGTATTACCTGAAAGCCAGATGATGTGTTACTTTTGGGGTGGTGAAGAAAGGGGTGATTGTGTCAGTGTAAGCATGAGAGGAGTTCGATGGGAGAATTGGTTTTGGGGGTTGCTATAGGTGCAGGAGTGTTTTGACTGGAGGAGGGGGTGGACCGAGATGGCTGTGGAATGAACTTGTTTGGTCTTTCCTATTAACTTCGAAGGTCTCGCTACTCGGTCGAGTGGAAGGTATTAGAGAGTTTATCGTTTTTAATTGCTCCTAGGTGGCCCGATCCTAATTCCCGGATTGTGAAATTTTGGGTTATTTCCATTTTTTGTCAAGGGCTTTAATTATTTGCTTTCGGGCTTTCTTCCAGTGTGCAAGCAATTCTGTTTCTATTATGTGCTTTATTGTGATTATTGGGTTCTCAGGGCTGATGGGATGGTCTTTGAAAGTTCTGTTGCATCTTCTTTTCCATAGACCCCAAAGGATTGCTTTTCTGATTAGGGAGAAGACAAGGCTTCAAAGCCTTTGAAGGGGGGGGGGTTGTTCCAGTTCTAGGAATACTGTGCTGGGGCTTATCGTGATCGACTTGTTTGAGAGGGTGCTCCAAGCATGTTCTATTTCATGCCATAGTCTCCTGGCGTCTGGACAATCTATGAAGCAGTTCTTTAATGTTTCCGGTGTTTGGAGGTTACGGACTTTGCACCAAGAATCTTGTTCTGTTATACTTTCCTTTTTGCGTCTTTGTGCCAGCCAATGGTTCACGGGAACTGCTCTGAAAGCTATCAGCCACCGTAGGATGGCTGGTTTCGTTGGTCTGGTACAGAAAATTGAGGGCCAAGGCAGGGATATTTGGGATTTGGTAAGTGTGTTTTCCTCTTTGGCCCATCTTTTTTGCAGGGTATTGGTTGTTGAGGCGGGTTTTGTGAAGAGGCGGTATTCTAGTTTGGGCTTGTAGTCAGTTAGTTTGCGGCAGCATTATAAAGTGGAGAGGCGACTGGTAGTGCTCCAGGACCATTCTTTAGGGTCAATTTCTAACTCATGTATGCTAGACTCGGGCTTGAAGACCCTGTTTCTTTTCCCCTTCGACGACCCTTATTCTACGTAGGTTATGTATTAGGAAAGATGCCTCTGTTCTGCTTACTGCATTAAAAAAACTTTGTTGGATTGTCTGGTTCGTCCAGGGTAAAGATGTTGCAGCAGATCCAATTCTTCTTCTGTGTTTCGTAGGATTTGAACTTCAGGACCTCTACTAACAGTTCTTGATACTTTGGTGAGGCCCAGTCGCCAAACTGACAATTCTGGTCAGTACTTAGTACGCGTCTCCATTCTATTGGGATGCTCTCGATGATCTGATTAATGTTTGCTTGAAGGTGGTGGGTGCCTTTCATAATCGGTCTTAGGCTCTTAGGTCATTTTCTGATTTCCATTTGTTGGTTGTGCCATCCCACAGATGCTGAATTTGGCATATACCTTTCTCTACCCAATGGCCCCATTTGGCTTTTGATCCGGAGAGAGCGAAGCATTCTCCTTTCTCAGTTTTGATCCAGGGTTTTCCAGAGAGGGGTTGTCTGAGTATTTTGTCCCTTCTTTTGTCCTATCTTGTTATCGGGGAATATGCTTCTCCAATTGTATTGGATTTGTGACCATAGGGACTTTGTGGGTTCGCTCTCTTGTGCGTCATCCTTGGACAACTGCTGGTTTTGAGTTGTTTTGTTTTTAGGAAGAGGCCAGTGCTTGTTGTAAACCTAAAAAATTACAGTCATGTTTTCAGGGGATTTGAATGGGGCTAACTCCCTGATGTGATTTAGGGTTAGAGGAGCCCAATGGAGGTTGTCTTGGAGAGAGATTCTCAAAATCCACTTGATCTGAAGGGCTTGGATCTGTCGAGCTGGTCAAGCAGTCCTAGCCCCCTTTTGGCTTCACGTTGGGTAATTGTTTGCCAGGCTACCTTGTGAATGAAGTGCTGTTTGTCAGCGTCGCCTGTCCACAGGAAGGCCACCGCCTTTTTCCTGATCTGGCTTTGGAATCCTTCTGATGGGAACCATATGGAGGTTGCGTACCACATCATGGCTAGGATTGAGTTATTGAGAGCTAGGACTTTACCTAGTAACGAAGTGTGAACACTCTTCCACGAGTGCATTTTATTAATCATGGACGATAATAGGGAGGCAGCCAAAGTGTTATGTGCGAGGCTACGCCCGCTTAGCCCCTATGGGCCCTTATTTGCAGCAAGGTCGGCCGCCCTAAGTGAAGGCAGGCACGACAGGCCCTCAGGGCCTCGATTTTCAGGGTACCCCGCAACTGGGGAAATTCAGGCAGTTGCGCAGCGCCAGTTGGTTGAATGAACTCAGGCCCTGGGCCGCCTGTGTGAATGAATGTAAAGCAGGCCCTGGGCGGGATACGGGTACCGGGCCAAGCACAGGCCGAAAGCAGTTGGGCACATGCAACCACTTCAGGCCCAAGGCCTGCGTTCCTCGTGGCCAGGCCTCAGGCTATCGGGGCCTACTGGAAGCTTCCTGGACTGGACGCAGGCAGGCCACTTCGATATAGGGAAGGGCCTGCCTCCTCATTGGGCATTCGGGTGCTGGYTGCACRCTGCGCAAGCGCTGCTGCTGCGCTATTTGCTGGCTGGCGCCTACGCTCTCACGGGCGAGCAGGGAAGGAGCACGCAGCCATAGCCAAGCTGCGCTGCTGTATGCTGGGTGAAGCGCAGGGTGGTCCTTGGGTGCAAGTGGCATCTGTGAGTTGGGGAACGAGGTTGTGAGGGTAGCGCAAGACATACCTGGTGCTGAAGCGAGCGACATTGGTCGCTATATGCTCATCATTCTGCTTCGTAGTATAGGCTAGATAGGATCTGCCACATGTAGTCTGGGCGCCGAGCGCCAATAGGATATCAACTCTGGTTCTTCGCTGATGATGATGGGACTACTTCAGCATTGTCAATGATGAACTCTTGGTGTGTTCTTA